CCTATACATCTTTTGAGGCCAAGATAATACCATTACCATTTCTCTTCAAAATAGGGCTTATTTTTACACAGGCTTCCGTAGTCCATAAGCATGTCTGGTATCTATGGGTCTTGGTTGTGACCACATCCTCTTTCATTCACATTGGGGAAAGAAATACATAAAAAATACATGACAACACCATTTTATGTTGAAACTGTGATGGGGCAATTTTTTGGCCAAAAGGTATCACCATTCATTCATACAATCCTTCTGGAGTGGAGAATGTTGTTTTATGAATATTTACTTCTTCAATCATAACTTGGTGATAGCCAGACTTTCAATTAAGTTTGGAAAATTATTTTTTTGTGCTACCCTCTTAATCAACTCTTTTTTATTCAACATATGCTACTTTATCTAAACAGTTACGTGATTTAGAGGAATTAATGACCATGCCAGATTTTCCTACCTTTTTTTTTTCCTTCTAAATAATTTTGAACTATAAACACGCCATATGAATAATTTGACTCTGATGACTTAATTAACCTTTTGATTCGGTTCTTTAACCTGTTATTTTTATTCTTTTTCATCCTCTCATTACACCTAATTGATTTGCTTTGAATTGGAATATCATGAAAAGTGCGTATGTGATTTGTCCCAACTCTCTAAAGGGTATTTTAAACAACATTTTTTCGAAACTTCAAAAATTTCTTAACTTGCTTCTAAACTCATGTCCTTGATTTCCTTTATCAATTCATATTTTTTGTATTCCCTTTCTAGTTTATGGGCTTCATTTATATCGTATAAGGATTTTCTTGTAATTTATTTGTCCTCATTTTGGAAGTTAGGGGCACTCAACTTCTTTTCCTCCTTCTATAGTAAAAATTAGCACATCTTTTGAAGCCGTATAGGGGCCAATCTCTTCAAGGGTTATTGGATCAATTCCAGCTTGATACTCTCCATCATCTATATTAACAAAGTTTGCCATAATTATCTTTTCTCTGATTTTTACATGAACTTTTATGACAAAATTTGTTAATCTCCTCCTACTATTCATGGTATCAACTTCGTGACCTTAAAGGTATTTTACCCATACCTTCCATAATTCTTTGGTGTAAATTGATATATTTGCTAGTATTACGAAACTTTTCTGAGCATGCACCATTTTTCGAATATGGTAACATATTCATTTGGTAATTCTGTTTTAGGTGGTTTGCCAGACAGATTTCAAAAATCTCGTTTATATTTACTTTTGAAGCTTTGTTTTATTTTCTCAATTTTAGCCCTATCATTCGAAAAAACAATTGACTCATCATCTAAACTTGAAAGATAACTTATTGAGCTTTTCTCATCCAATATTTGATATGAGCATGATGTTTCACAAACCTCAAAACTTTTGCCTTCTATTTTTCTTTCTTCCTTTTTTTGATCTGAAACCTAGTTTGCACAAGAAGCCAACCTTATTGCCAAATAATTTCTTTTCCTTCTTCAGAAATTCCTGTTTTGCATCAAACTCAGGAATAGAAGTAGAAATAGATTGTTCTTTAACTCTAGGCTTCTAGTTTATAACATACTTGCTATTAATTACTTTGTAATCGAGTCCAAAAGCTTTCTTTTCTGATATTTCTATGAAAACTGGACACACAGTTATATTTTGGGGCAATGTATAGTTTAGATAATGCATAGAAATTTTAGCAGAGAGTATTGTAAGTAATACATTTCCATGATTCTATTAAATAAATGGGATAAACATCTATGGATATCCGTTCTTTACTATTTGTTTCTTTTTTAGATGAAACATTGAAAGATCATGAACATCTCAAGGTAGGATCAAATCTTTTTCTTGCACATATGGTACTCTGTTTTCACACATGATACTTTGTTTCCATGCTATAAAAATTTGATTTCAAATATACCGAAACATGTTTTATGTCTCTCTTCCACATGAAAAATATTTATATAAATTTACTCTCACTACGCTTAGCAGTGCAGTAACTCTTGTCGGTTATGGTCTAAAAAATTTGGCTTTTCCAGGGAAAAAGGACAATTGACTCAACAGGGGAATGAAAAAGAAAAGGGAAAGTTGACAGTGAATACTGTAGATGAATAATGAGAGAAGCAAAATAGTGAAATGAGAAAGAAATTAATAAAAGCCAAAAGATTGAACCAATATGCCTGATACAAGAGCGATGAAGGAAGGGTACAAGAAGCTCAAAAGTAAAATACTGATGAGAGGGATGATATTATGGTGGGGAAACTACCATACTGGGGAGCTATATCCAAGGGGCATGTTTGCTTTGTGGGAAAATAGTTCACCAAATAATATTTTATTATAAAATTGATGTTTTCCTATGGTTGGTTCTTTAGAAACAAGTGGAAACTTCTCGTCCTCATAAATGAACATTTCAGAGAGGTTCAGAATTTAGAAAATAGCCATCTTTATTTGCCAAATAATTTGTTCTTCTTCTTCTTGGGAAATTCCTTATTTGTATCAGACTTAGGAATAGAAGTAGAAGTACATTCTTCTTTAATTCTAGGCTATTAGTTTACAACATACATGATATTAATTACTTTGTAATTGAATCCAAAAGCTTTCTTTATTCGAAAAAGAGAGACCACCATCGCCTCACTGACCCCATCCCTCCCATGCCACTAACTTCATGACTATCATTGCTTGACATGTACCATTGCCACTTGTGGTGGTGCCATTAGAAGCGGCAGCAATCAGGGTGGTGGTCATGGGCGTCCCTCTCTCTCTGTTTATGTTGACAATGCCCCAAAAGACAATAGATTCTCTGTCTTACTCTCTATTCAAATTGACAGTTCCACAAGTAGATCAATTCTCCTATGCTCTCCACTTGAACAGTGAACTATTTGAATGGAAAAAAATTTGTGGAGATAAGATTAGGGAAATTATCACAAATATATTTTAATTATGAGAAATTATCCTATAGGACCTTTTCCAGTTGTGTGTGTAAAACTTTACAGGATCATCATTAAATTTGGTACAGATTTATAGAAAAGTCAAGTCCTGAAGTCCTACACACATGAATGGGAGAAGATCCTATAGGATCATTACTCTTTAATTTTTGTCTATCCTATAGGATCATTACTCTTTAATTTTTGTTTAAGTAGAAAAAAAAAATAACCTTATAGTCTCTTAAACCTTGTCCGTACCTTTTTTTTAATTGATATTTTTTTACCAAAACAACCTACACAGTAGTTATACTACAAAGTATGATGCATCATGGTACTCAAGGTGCCGTGATGACTTTCACATATTATGCAGAACTTAATGACGCCCTTTAACAGCTCGGTAGTTTTTTTACCCTAATTATCCAGACAAGAGGAAGAGGCGGAGGAGGAAGACCATCAACCAGAGAAGAGGGTTTCTTCATAGAGGGCGGGGGTACACTTGAGAGTGCAAGCAAGGTGAGTGAAAGTGGTGGATCGCAAGCCTTGCTTAAAATCTTTGGGTGGGGAAAGGGGGGGGGGGGGAGGAGAGATTGGTCATTTATCTCTCCATGAGAGTGCTGAGCATTGAGAAAGAACAAGAAGCATAGAGAGAGGTCCAGTTGCGTCTTTCCAAAGGCCCCCTAGTCACAAATTTTGTCATTGCAGTGGGGTTGTGGAGCTCCAGTATTTCTTATTTGAAAATCCCATATATTAATTATATGAGTTAACTGTGTCCTTTACTTTTAGGTTGCAAATTTCCCATTTCCAACACCTCCAGAGAGCTCGGCTCTAGAAGAAGCTGAACGATGCTTGAAAGTCCTTGATGCACTGGATAGCAAGAAGACTTAGCTCTCTCGAGAAGGCCATGGCTCCCTATCCAATAAGCCCTCGCCATTCCCGTTCCATTTTAACAGCTATTCAAATTATGGAAAAAAAAAAACCAGGCTATGCTAGAGCAAACCTAGTTCTAGCATTCACTGTTGCAGGCGCAGCAGCTCTGAGCTCAATCGACCCTTTTCTGGTGGACCACCATGAATAGGGATAGAGAGAAAAAAACATAGGGTGATGAAATGGGTTATACTAAGGCGAAATTGGGGGAAGAAGAAGTAGAGGTCACTGCTTAAGGCATCTAGAAAGAAGTTCTCTAACCCTAGCAGTGCTGCTCCCAATCTAGCTAATGCATTACGTTTGTTTGAGGCTTCAGAAAAGCCCTGAGAGTTCTACTCGGCTAATGGTATTATTCGAAGCTTGGGGTGAGGTTTTTTCAACATGGGCGCAAAAGCTCTCGAAGAGAGTTTCAACTTCCTATGAAACTCCAAGAACTGAAGCCCAATGTCAATATCAACTCCACACTCTAAAGAAGAAATTTAAGAAAGAGAAACAGAGAATTGCAGAGGCCAATGCTCTAGGCCATAATCTGAATCGCGTGAGCATGATGCCCTTTAGCATCTCGGAAACTTTTCTACTGTAATCACAATAGTTATCATGGCACTTTAAGTATCGTGATACATCATACTTTCATGGTAATATGACTACCGTGAAAGCTATTTTGATAAAAAAAAAAAGTCCCAAAAAAAAAAAATAATGTATGAACGAAATTAATGAAAGTACATGGTTTTTTCTAATTAAGAGACAATTAAGATATATTTCTAATAATGTCCCTTATAATTCTCTGGTTCAAAAAAAAAAAACAAAAAAAGCCTATCACTTAAATTGCAAAATGATCAATGGAGTTTCAAGGCTATTCTGCATGGAAATCCAATATAATACAGCAAACAACAACTGTAGTCCAAGGATTGGCAACACTGACCAGATGGGTCGTCAATGACAAATTTATCTTCTGGAGGCTTGGCAAACACTGAATTATCGAATACCAATCAAAAGATCGACCGAAAATTTCACCCTATATTTTACTAAACTTTGACAAAAAAATTTCATGAAAATTAGACAACGTTTTAAACCAAAGTTTGACATTTGATGTAGGGTCCACAAGTCCAAGTACAAGCTCCTTGCCACGTTTAACGAGCTGCCTCAAACCAATGTTACCCCTACCACCACCTAAAGTAAAATGAGGCAAAAAGAGAGTTATATTCATAGATCAGACATCAACATGGAACTATATTTGTATTTACACTTTCAAATACTGTTGCAGAACACGAAAATATTTTCCCCTGTACATCCTTTCAAAATCTTCACATCTACAAAGAAATGCTGCTTTTTTCTTTTCTTTGTTTCTATTCATTTTGTTCGCTCTTTTTTTTCTTTGGGGTAAGTTAGGGTGTCTGTAACTACACATATATCCTGTATGTTTTTTATGTATGTTTAATAAGATAATTATGTTCCCCAAGCCGTAATAATTGCGGAGTTTCACTTTTCATGGGGATTTTCTTGCCCTTTCTACCAGACATGCGGAGATGTAAACAATGATTTAGCTGCAACAGAACCAGGTCCTCTGAATGGCTTAATCACCTTATGGTGGACAGGGCACTTGTTGGGCTGCCTCACTATGTAAATTTGGTCACCTATGCCGTTATACATATCCTGGTTCCTATGCCATGTCCAAAGAGCATATGTTTCATTCTTCACCTGCACATATCAAAGGTAAGGTTATATGCTCAAATAGCTCCTGAAACATCATATTTAAAATTGTAATTGTTGAAACTATTTTACCCAAAAGAAAACTGGTAGATATGGAAACCAAAATGTGAGAGGAGACTCAGTTCCTCATAGTTCAATTGTAAGGTTCTTTTTGTCACAAACTTAAAGCGGATCATGTTAACCAATTAGAAAGCCAGAAAGAAGAAAAATTAAAAAGGAAATAGAAACAAAAGAACTAATATTTCAACTTAATTCCTTTTGTAAAATAAAGCCCACATTAGTTTCAACTATATGTAATCAAGCATATTATGATCATTTTACATAATGCTGCAACATGAAAATTCTGACCACTACTCTTTTAAGGAGCAGAGATCTGGTTACAAAATAGAAACAGGAAGAAAACCATCCAGATAAGTATATTCCCCTATGTAAATAAAACATAGCCATCACATGAGAGAAATCCTCATGCTAAAAAACATTAGATGTAAATCTTTATCTTTCTAAAATACAGACTACGCTGACTTCTGTTTCTACAAGGGAGTTCAGAACATAAGCATTTGATGCATGAGATTTATGAAAATAAAACATAGTCATCACAAGACATGCTAAAAAAAGATTAGATGTAAATCTTTATCTATCTGAAATACAGACTTTGCTGACTTCTGTTTCTAAAAGGGAGCGCAGAACAGAAGCATTTGATGCATCAGAATCTTATTAAAAAATAACTGGAAAAATAAACTGAGAAATAATCTCATTGTGAAACAGTACACTACAACACAAACAGGCTCGTGTGTATACGGGCACAAAAAAAGAAAATCATGTGATCCTGATCATCATCAAGAGGAAAACTAGAGAAGAGGGACAGAAATGCAACAGGACGTTTTCAACTATTAATAATCACAAAGGAAAACGGCTTCATGGTTCAAGATAATTTCATACACCCTCATCCTACTGGACACACCCCCATATGTATCCAGGATCCTATGGTTATGATCCATATTGCCTAATTTTTTCATACAAATAGGCAGAATAACAAGATTATGTAAAAATTGTAATACTAACAAAAAGCAACAATAAAATATATAGGTAAAGCATGAATTCAGAAAAAGTTAATGATCTTTCACAAATTGAATATACTAAAGTTCATTCCCATCCAAAAAATGGTAAGGCCTTATCAAAAATATGGAAATAAATACAAGATAAAAAACAGAGCAAGAAAATGAACTATTGTCATTAAAAAGGTATTCAAGTTCGTATATGGCACATTAAAAAAATAACGCAGTTCATGATGGTCATTTTCCTGCAAAGATCAAGGAGAAATCACACAAGTAGCTTTCTTTTGGAGTGTAGAAGTACCATTTAAACCTACCATTCTATGAACTAAATACCACTAATATTTTTTGGGGAATTTTATCAAACCACACCCAAGAGATTCACTATTTAACATCACACCCATACCTTGTCAGACTTTCAAAGAACCCATCACGTTATACATAAAGTACAAATCATAAGAGGCCACATATTGATGGAGGGGCAATTTCTAATTTTTATGTTCCATCAAAAACCAAAATGGTTTTAAAGAAAATTACTTATGAGAGATATTAGTATCTGTAGACACCAAAATCTTCATGAATGACTAAGCGAGATACCAATTTGATGGAGGAGCAGAATTGGAAACTGCCCCTCAACAGTTTAACCCATTAATGACTCATTATAGTATTGTACTTTGAGAACTTCTCCAAATTTGAACATGAAATTTAGGTCAACGTGCATCTCTTGAAGACTGTTGATAAAATTCACTTAATTAAAAAAAAAATCAATAAAACCATTAAATTTCTCAAGGACCAGACACTCACTTCTAGAATTCCATGGCCAAAACTGCTCTCTCGATAAGCACTGAATTCAGGCTGGCGGTCCCAGCAAAACTTGCCGGCAGCTGGGCCTGCAGTGAAATTAGCAGCACAGAATCCACCCATGAAAGGGTCTGGTGTGGATGAGGGCTCAGGGCATCCATCCTTATCATCAGCATGGGAAATGGACATCTTCTCTCTGTTACCCCCATCTCCAACTGTGATATAAATGGGACCACAGGGATCCAACGTATAGTTATATACTCTGTTTGATCTTTCATAGGCATGAACCTGACAAAAGTTTGCCACAAGGGGTATATTTATTAACAACATAGATCTTTTTTCTCAATGAACCATTGTAAAATTTATTACCAAAATGAGCAGGATATATATGATGGATTTTACAGGAAAAAGTCTTTGTCGAAAGAAAAGCGGAGTATGATAAATAACTATATTTCGGGGCGTTATAACGCAAATGACTCTTTACAAGACGAAAATATGTTATTAGATAATGTACATGTCCATTGAAGATGATGTCAACACCATAGGAGTAGAGGAGTTCCTCCATCTCCACCCTCATGCATTCAGCTTCTCTGTAATGAGCCTTGTAGGTGCTGTACCATGGTGGGTGCCAAGAAACTACCAGCCATGGAGTCACAGCCCTGTCCACCTTCTCAAGATCCTTCTGCAACCACTTGTACTGGTCTCCTGGAAAAGAGAAACATCTAGATTAATAAATTGCATAGGAATATGAAAGCTAAAAATATTCTGTTTTAAGTTTTCCTTTATTGTTGTGACTTTTATGATCAGTTCCCATACATGGCTTAGAATGGTTTATCATCTGATGCAATCATCCATAAAACTCTCCATAGTGTGGTCAATCAGATTGAATTCTGACTTTCAGTGAGAATATGTGGAAAGAAAATTGAAAGCAAATGTCCTTGGATATTCTCCAAACTTTCACCAAAGAGTGTTCCATAATCATTATAAGCAACCATTAATATTTTTGTCATGTCTTTCCATTCAAGTGCATCTTCCATCTTGTGGCCATTCTTGATCTTTTCTCCAAAAAAAGATAAAGAAAGAGGTAATGACGCTCATTTAGAAAGATGAACTTGCTTGTAGCTACTAATAATATGATTATTATGAAAAATTTGTTAATTTTCCAAAAGGAAAATGTACATTTCTCTATTGCATTTTTGTGGGAACAATCATTAGAAACAACAAGAACAGTATCTTTTTGCTGTGTAGGGCAATGATAGTACATGAACAAGAATAGTTACTTTTGAATAATATTTATGGTCTACAACCTCATTTTGCCACACATACACACAAGTACACACAATTACCATGTATATGGTCAACAACAACACTATAAAACCGCTATAACGAGAGAAAAACAGACCTGTGTCCCCATTTATTTGTGTAATGTTAGGTTCGATCATGAGCTCTTCAAGTAGGTCTGCAGTGGTGTATTAATCTATAAAATGTGACATTTACTGGATGTCACGTAATGTCATGTTTCATGCACAAACTCAATAGCATGTTCATGCATGATAAACATCCTCAGAATCAAGCCTAAGTATACATATTCCAATTCCCAAAAATTTGACCTCAATGAATTCCAAGGCAACTGACCCAAAATTCATAAGAAAAAAAGAACAAACAGAGACAAACGGGAAAGAATTCTTCATTACCTGACTTGTAATAAGAGGTGTAGGCACTGAGCATGATGAAATGTATGCCCCCGGCATCGAATGAGTAGTAAAATGTGGACTTGGATCCACTCTCCTCACTGGGGAATGCAAACCTGGAGCTATAAGCCACAAATGTTTTGTTGAAAGCTTGCTCTTCGATTTCATGGTTCCCTTCAACCACCATCATTGGAACTCTTGACACCAGTGGCTCTATAAACCTTCAGTTTCAATCAAACCAATGTCACCATTTTGGCCTGAACATCCATTTCATGTCGAGCATGAGTATAGAGATCCTTTTCTTTTCATTCTTAATGTTGGAAGACGTAGAGGCTTAGATCCTTAATTATGTAGTGAAAAAAATAAAGAAAACGCATTGTTTACAAATATTTATACCTCCATTATTAGAGGACTTACACAAGACAGAAGCAAAAATAGAATGCCGGTCAGTTATCTAAAGACATGATGTATAGTACCCCATCCATTAAAAATTCAAGTTCACCAAAAACTAGCTCATGGGATCAAGAACTCCAACTTAATGATGCTTACAAGAGCAATACTAGGAGATTGAGACCCCTGGGAGGTCTTCTGAAAGTTCAAAAGAAATTGTCGAATGGCCATGACTGTAGGGAGAACTCCCCTAGCCCAGTGGTTTTGAGCTCAATTCGTTTTTTTAACCTGAATAAATAGGTTATTGTCAAATAGAAGAAAAACATAACTAACATAGCCTTTGTTTGGAAATCAGGAATTGTATGCTGATAAACATAATTAAGTCAGATGAGGAATGAAACGTAATTCAAAGAGTGAGCAGTAGAAAGGTATCCAATCCATAAGAGAGAAAAAGAGAAGAGAAACAACATCCAACAAATAAGAGAGAAATAGAGAAAAGTAACATAAAACTCAGAAAGATCACCTAATAAACAAGAGAGAAATAGCAAAGCAACATTCAACAAATGAGAGATAGAGGATGCACAACATCAAAGTGATAGAGAGAGAGAGAGAGAGAGAGAAAGAGAGACCTTCCCCAGTAATCCCATCTGGGCTGGTAGGTTTCATGGATTGGCGTATCAGGGAAGGCACAGGCATAACAATCAGCACCAGAGCCATTAGTAAGGTACAGATTCGCATAAGTAACATCCCCAACAAGAAGAATGAGATCTGGATCGTTTCGACGCAGGTGATCCACGGTAGAGGTGGTGTTATATGTGAGACCCAAGTCCCCCACGACTCCAATTCTCCCCGGATAACTTTTATCGCGAACTTCCGGCATTGTCCTGAAAGACTTGATTGGGCTCATTGGCCCATTTGATGAGTCCCCGCATCGATAATAGTACCTTTTTCCTGGTTTCAGGCCTAGGGGGAGAGAGAGAGAGAGAGAGAGAGTTAGCTTGGGAAGATTTGGATATAGAGTTCAAGGGCATCTAAGCACTGGGCCAAAGTTTTAGGGAAGACGCAAGAGATGGAGGAGAGGTAGCTTGGTTTGTTTGGGAGACAAAATTTCAATGGTGCCTTACCATTACACTCAAGCCTAGAGAGAGAGATATTTGTTTCCACTGGAGAACAATTGGAGGAAGGATGAGGGAGAAAGTAAAAATATTAAAAACCCGAAATTTTCAGGTCCATGGTTCAATAGGGAAGAGGTCGCTGTTACAGCAATGAGGTTGCAGGTTGGAACCCATGCAAAATGCCCTAAAAACACTAAAACCATGAAAGAAGAAAAGACACCAGATGAGAGAGAAAGTGAAAAGCAGGATTCGAGCCCATAGCTCAACTGGAACTAGCTTTTTGTCTCAACCCTGAGGAGGTTGTGCTTTCGAAACCCAGCCTATCCACCCCCAAACAAAGGGGAAAAAAAAAAAACAGAGAGAGAACAAGTGAAAGCAAAAGGTACCAGTGAGACGAACATGATGGATTATGCCAGAACTGTAATTTTGCATGCCCTCGAACGGATAGAGCTGATCATAAACCAGAGAATAACCAGTGGCTTCATGGGCCATAGGGTATCTCAGCGGGCCATAACGAACCACACTTTTCACACTTGAAGGATCCAAGCGCTTCGTGCCATTACCAATGTGAAAATCCCCTGTAATTCAAACAACAAATTTGTAACCAATTCTTCAACAGAAAATTGAATGGCGAACAAAAAACCCAGAATCGAGAGAAATTTATGAGAGAGAAATTGATCAGAAAAGAAACAAAGACCAGGCGAGATATAAAAAGCACCAGGAAGAATGAATGTAAAGGAATTAAAAACAAGAACAGGGAGAAATTTTTACATCCATAAAGAAATAGAAATAGGACAAGCAGACTGTAATTCACCAAATAAACCCACCAAATTTCTGAAAAAAAAGGAGAAAATAAGAGAGAATTCAATAATATGATGAGAGAGGGAAACCCAACAAATTTTCCAGATAGGAAACGAGCAAATTTGTAACAAAAGCTATGAAATGGGATCAAAAGTGAATACAGAGAATCGGATAAGAAGCTCAAATCTGCGATGAAGGAAACACAACAAATCAAAAGAAAAAACAAACCCAAGCAAAGAATGAGAGAGAAACGGAGAGAAAAACAAACCTGTGATGTAGGAGACCCAAATTGCATCAGGTGTGGACAAAGAGAGAGAAATCTGTTCAGGTTCAAAAGTTCTTCCACGTTTTCCGACACGAGGATCAGAATCGGGCAAATCAATGGCGTGGCCACGAAGAGAGTTATCAAAAGGGACAGTAATGGGATCGAAGGGGCCATCGACAGTAGTAGGGATTTTGGCAATGGCACCTGAAAACACAGATAACACAGAGATTAAGGCGAGTAAAAAGCAGAGCAACTCCATGAATCTTTTGCTTTTGAAGAACGAAAAGCGGAGTTCTCCTTCCTTTCAAATTCCAACGGAGTAAAGGCCAAGAAGAAGAATTCAGGTTTGTCGGTTACTTTTATTGTTTTTTTGGAGAGAGAGGGGGAATGGCATATAGATGGCCTTATATTTAGAGAGAGAATGGCGCTTTGAATTTGTTGCAGAATCGAGAAGAGAGGGAGCATATGTGGGAAAATTTCTTTTGGCCGGTAACGTTGGGAACTGTTTTCCGCGAGACGTGCAAAGTACGTCCTCGTACTCCCCGCCTCATCTGCAATGACGCATATTCCTTTGAAGATAAGCCTACTTTTTGGAACGGGTCCTACTTCGAGGCCGCAGCACCCTTCGGTTTTTGTTTCGAGTATCATAAGCACATCATTAAGGATTTTACTACCCCCTCATCTCTTACCTCATTATTTCATTGATATTTGACTATAAAAATTAGTCTTAATAAAATTTTTTATATTATTTTAACTCAATAACTTTTTTAACTCTTTTTTCTCCTTTCCACCCATTAAAATGGTGTAAATTGTTTTGTTAAAACTAATTTTTATAATCAAAAGTCAATAAAAGAGGGATATAAGAGATGAAGGGGTATGATCAAATACTTCGACGTTTCCTTATGCCGCTTGAAAAAAAAACGAGAGAGGGTCTACAATGAAATAGTATGAGGAATTATGGATCTATAAGAAATTTTTTTTTTTTAATTGAATTTTTTAACAAATACCCCCAAGTCAAAAAAGTAATATTCTTTTTTGACAAAATTGCCTATAGTGCCAGACCTCCTCATTTTGTGTCGAATCATCACATGCCCGAAGTGCTGGACTGCCTCTATTTTGTATCAGACTACATGCTTTTCAGAAGCCCAAAGTGTCGAACCACCCCCATTTTATGTCGGACTGCATATGCCCAAAGTGTCGAACCGCCTCTACTTTATGCCGAATTGCATGCTTTCCCGAAGCAAAGTATCAGATCGCCCCCATTTTGTACCCCACCGCATGCCCAAAATGTCGAACCGCCCCCGTTTTGTGCCACATGCCCAAAATGCCGAACCGCCTCTATTTTGTGTCAAACCGCATGCTTTCCAAAAACAAAGTGCCAGACCGTCCCATTTTGGGCTGGACCACAAGCTTTCCCGATGGTATTTTGGTCTTCATTTTATGTTTTTTATGACTTGAAAGTATTGGTTTAAAAAACGGATCGATGTCTCGGATCGGGCACCCCAAAAACCTTATGGACCGGTGAATTGGCGTTTCGAATCGGGAAGTGGGCGGAATCGGTAATTTTTGTGTCAAAAAATCTTTAAAAAATCCCTATAAATCTCTAAAAATAATGTTATTTTAATTTCTAAAAAAAATTAGGAGTGATGCATTACGTATTTTCATTACTTTGTAAAAATAGGTGATTATTGAGACCCTGTTTTTCTATCTCGATGTCTGTATAATTAAAATAAATATATTAATAAATAAAATATAAGACTTGGTTATCATTGTAATTAGTATGAACAAGGGTATGAGCCTCACAAATAAATAAATGAAATATATAACAATTGGTGTGGATAGAAATATAGAATTTAGAAATATAAATTTATAATAATATTTCAATAAAATTTAAAAGTAAATAAATAAATCTATACTTGCAATGTGAGGGAAATAGTTACAAATACTTCCATATTATAAGATTAAAAAAATTACTTTTTCACATAAATTAGTATCACATCAAAGTATCAAACATTTATTAATGTGTTTTGCTAATCCAAAATTATTACAACTTAACTAACTATAAGAATATATATATAAATTGAAGTTATTTAGTTTATAACTTTATATTTTATAATTATTTTACTATACAAATAAAGATATAAAATGTCTTATAATATCATCGAATTTAAACAATCTTATTTACAATTATAAAAAAAAATAATACATTATAAAATTTATAATAGAAATAAATTAATAAATAATATACAAGATTTGGTTATTAATAAATTAAAAAATTTATATTTGCAATGTGGGATAATTGATAAAGCAGCTTGAAATAAATTCTAAAATGGTATGAATTAGTGTTATTTTTCTCTCTTAAAATATCTCTAAACTATTTTTTTTTAATATCCAATAGACTAGAATTGATATTTTTATTATTTTTATTTCAATATCCTATGGGCTAGTACTAATTTTTTAATCCTAATTAACTAATTAATTAATTATTAATCATATAATGAAATAATCCCATGATATAATAGCTTAATAGAGTTTTTATGTTTTTTTGGTAAGTAAATTTAAAGATTTTTCGTGAAAGATAGGGGAGATGGGCACCCAATTATTATTTTTAATAATTCTATTTTTAACGTCTAATTTAATTGCCACCATCCGACGTACAACCTTCTTATTCATGATGGGCATACATCGTTGAGCGTACACCATCATGCATACACCATCTCACTGCAATTTATCCCAAGCTAATAATATTTGCCATGGTTTTTCAACTCACAAGAATGTCCCCACATCGAAGTGATGTGGAAAGAAATAGTGTTATAAAAGAACTCAACCATCCTAATCAATTGATTGTCGTCTTGGCCACGTGTATGGTACTGCGCGTTGAAGGTTGTTGCTTGCCACGTGCATGTGGGGTTTGCACTTTATAAGCGCATATGAGGGTTAGTCCACACTGACCCATGCTGACATAGGCAGGGTACAAGCTGACGCATGCTGATGTAGGGAGGTCTTGGGTTCTTAATTATAATGATTCAAGCGGTTCACTATACAGAACCGCTGACTCGAGCGGTTCTCTGTACAGAATTGTCGATACCTTTCTAGAATCGGACGACTTAACGTGTTTTACTGGAATCAACATGGGGTGGCCGATTCCTGTGTCGACTCGAGCGAGTCTGTTGTGACTCGCCGTTTTTTAAAACACTGCTTGGAGGTCTTTACTAGGAAAATTAAATTTGGGATAAAAAGTGAAATTTTTTTTGGTTGGGGGTAAGTTCTATAAGAAGTCTATTCTTGAGGGTTATTTGTAATTTTCCAGTAGTTTTTATCTCTAATGACACCACTTTACTTGCACTTTTAAAAAATAACTTTTAAACTACTTGGAAAAATGGTAAGGGTTGTCTTTCCTACTAAATTACCCAAAAAATATTCTCACTAGATTACCCAAATTATTAAGTTATTGAAAATGAGATCACACTCTAAAAACTGCATAACCTTCAATCTTATATATAGAGGTTACGATAAGGGAAGTAATTGAGGCCACTCGTTTGATAATGATGAAAGAATAAATAAAAACCGCAAGAATAAAAAATAAAAAAATAGAAAAATAAAAAAATAAAAAAGTTGAGCGAATAGGGAAAAGTTTATGTACTTCCACTACAACATAAAAGATGTGCTTCCCCTCCCATCCAGTCGTCCATTTTAGATCAAGTGAGACACACACCTCAAATTATTTTATTTTTAGTTTTTTTTTCTACAAATTGTATGAATATGAAATTTGCCATGTTCTCAATGGGGTGCACCTACGAAAAATATTTTTAATTTTTTTTCGATAAAATGTAATGATCAAAATACCCCTTGAAGCTTTCAGGGGTATTTTAGTTATTTTATTTTTTTGGCATTATTTTTTTTATATTTTTTACAAGTGTGAGTTTAAGAGAGGAGTGGATGTCCAAAATTTGGTATCAAAATAATTCGTAGAAAAATAATTAAAAATAAAATAGTGTAGGGACGTGATATTGTGAGTGGGGACATCTCAGCCGTCCATTTAGTTGTATGTTGTAGGAGAAGTATAGAAATTTTGTCCAAGATAATATACCCTCTCTCAAGGTCTAAAAAAAAATCCACCCAAAATGATATTTTCACAAGATCACCTATATGCCTTTTGTATTTTCTCTCACTTACCATTCCTATTTTCTCTCTTTCTAACATCCACAATAGCCTTTCTAATGGTATAATATAACTACGACTTACTATTTCCTACACTAAGAGATCTTTACCTTATCTGTATGTCATTTCCTAAACAAAAGTTCTTTACCTTCTTCTTTTACTTCGATAGAAGTACTAGGTAGCTATTTTATTAAGGTAATGAAGTAATACAACAGAAACAAAATAAAAGGAAACAAAAACGAAGAAAGGCAGAGAAAAGAAAGAAAGAACACAATCAAACACGAGCCCAACCCCAGGCAGTAGTGGCGTTTGCAAGACAGCCTTCTGCTATGTTGACGCCTCTCTTGACATGGTCGAAAACAATTTCGCATAGCGCCAGAATAATAGCATCCATAATACTACTAAGGTTCTATAGAATAAGGTCCGACTGAAGGCACCATTTGATGATGTTGAATCTCCTTCAATAATCACCTTTAGATGATTAGGGGCTAGACCATCCACTCCATTTTCAGTGCCCACAGTTCTGCCTCATTATCTCACACGCATGCCATCTCCCTTGATAAGACCAAATAGTCGATCCAAATATGTTATGAAGAAGACCACCATAACCATTGACATTGCACCAAACACTTCCATCAAAATTGAGTTTATCCAACCCACTGGATGCTTTAACTAGGAACAATTTGTTTGTGGTATAAGACCAAGGGGCTAAATTCATAACTTTAAAAAATTTCCATTCTATTAAAACATAAGGCTTTAAATATATGAAAAACTCAATACAAAACCATAACAGATAAATTCCAGCCTTCAAACTTGGTTTATACCAACCTTAATAAATAAAATTATAACTCTAATAGGTACCTTACGTATCCCTTTCTCAAAATACAATTAAACTCAATACAATATCCAAATACTCAAAATGTACATCTCCACAATATAATACATGACTTATGCTCAAATTCATCATTCTGTCAAAATTACATATTCTTCAATCTGCATTCTCATCATATGCCATTGTTTGAACATGTTTTTCAGCATCTTGGTTCCTGTTAGGAAGCAGTCAATAAAGCCTACAAAATAGTGGAAATTCGCGACAGTCTTAGAATGGCCCCATAATTTCTCAAGTCGTCATCAACACTTCAAAAGACCACCTGCCAAGTTTTATCGCAATCAGACATGTCTAAGGCAGTGAAAACAAAGAAACAATTTTAGCGAAATCGGTCCCTAGCACCCTGAAATGGACCATGTAATTAGAGTTATACTTTTGGTGTATCAAACAGTTGTGGGACTACTGCCATTAGATTACGTCGAAAACCCCAATGAGTCAAGTTTCGGCTTAAAGGTGGTTGTTTTCACAGTCACGAGCAGTCACTTTCAGGGACTGTATCTCACTCG